GACCACTTTTACCAATGTCAGGGAGAATATTTCACAGTAGTTTTCCAGCCTTGGGAAAAGGCCCAATTGTCATGATATTGCAGAGGCCAATAGTTCAAGAGATGGTGACAAGTACCTGGCTCCATAGTTGCACTGAAGGCATTACTTGAGCCTCTGGCTCTGGGACTTACTGTGACTGGTCTCTGCCCTTGGAACAGGAGATAGACTTCACAGGACTCTCCTCTTGGTACAGCCATCCTTTGCTGTTTCTTGCTCTGTGTTCTATCAGTGAGGGAAGCATCATGGGCTGGGCTACCTATGAATCACGCTTAGACTCCTCACCATGTGGAGACCTAGATGTTCACTTTATACTCGGAATCCTTGTAATACCTCCTGGAGGTAGAATAGCTAGAAATTACTGTTCTCAGGTAGAAAGTAAGGAAACTGAACCTTGGGGGAAAAAATTGATGTGGGTGGAATGGCCAATCATATATGTTAGTTACATATGGCAAGTGAGCTAGGGTTCAGCCAGCAAATCATTTTTTACTGTACTTTACTTGAATGTGAAGCAGCAATGACATGGGACTTTGTTTTCTTGAGTTCATTTATTGATTTTAACGTCTTTCCCCCACAACACACAGGTACAAACAAGACATGTGGCTTTGTAGTGTATCAAAACAACAAGCTTTTCCAATCAAAAACATTTATAACTAAGTCAAATTTTAGTCAAAAAATTATCTCAAGCAAAACTAATGACAATAAAGAAGTTCAGCATGCTTCTGTTGAAATGGTCTTTAGTCCAAAGGTGAGTATTTTCATGAACAGAAATAAAAAGTTCAGACCACTCTTGATTATAAATGCAGGGATAGTTTGGGTAAAATAAACCCATATAAACGATTCTTTGAAGTATCCATTTAAGTGTTCTTCTTACTCATATATTCAGTCAAACTAAATGCAAAATTAACTAATTTGCTTTTTGTACTCTTTTCCGCTTCTTAATCTATAATAAAGATGCTACTGCTTAGTATGTGTCTGACTGATCTCTCATATGACAGTCTTACTCTATGTGACTTTTTTACCCAATTAAACATTAAAAATTCAGTCATTGTAATTTTCTTATCATTTCACAGTACAGTCGAGAAGAATTTCAACTCTATTCCTTTGCCTGTGTCTTTTGGAATTTTTCAAAGAACGATTGGGACACGTATGGCTGTGACAAAGTCAAGGGCCATGATGGATTCTTGCAATGCCGCTGCAACCATACTACTAATTTTGCTGTATTAATGGTAAGGAAGTACACAGTAATTTATTCTAGGGGAGAATTTTCCTTATTCACAACTCTAATATATGCTTATGGGAGGAAATCATGGGGTGTAGTTTGATTTTTAAGTTTAATTTGATTCTTGGCTCACATTAAGTAGAAAAACAAGGAATGGAGTGATCAAACTAGGAAGGGACATGAATGTAGACTAGAGTTTTTTGCAATATGGTCGTAAGAAAGAGAGGTCAGCACTGCATATTTAATAGGGAAGGGAGCCCATGTGCGAAAAAGCAGCTGCCAAACTCCATCAACTAACCCGGATGTTTAAAGCAGGAGTGCCCAATCCTTTTTTTTTTTTTT